CATTGTTTGTAATGACTGCATTTTGGGACACAGTCATAAAACTTCTACCTCCCTGGTCATCCTTCACATTGGCTAATACAGGGTGGAGCAAAAGTAGGTTTACAGCGATGAATACACTAAACACAGTCTATTTTTGTATTATTGTATTATTTTCCATACAAACAACTCTAAATCGATTTTTGCCCTGTATTTAAAAGGATTCACGTTTCCCATGGACTATACTAACTCTACACTTACAAAGATGGTCAGGGCTGGCTGGGGTGACCCAGGGAAGCTGATGGATTGAGGCTTTGACACTGAGTGTGTACAATCCAACAAAATTTATTACTGTTTGGCTTGAGTAGAATGGAGAACTGAGAGAGTCATTTCCTCTGTTCTTTGCTCTGCGGAAAGGAGACACAGCTGGCTCTCCATGTAAGAACCGAGCCTCACCCCGACGTCAAATCCAGCACATTCTTGGAGGAGCACACCCAGGACCTCTGTAGTTCAAAGCGGGCTCACCTCGTGCAAACTGCTAGAGAAATCTTCAGACTGTGCACGGGCAAGTTCACCACACTGCCCGGGTGCCCATGCGTAGTGCTCACCACCATTTATCACCTTACTATTGCTAGATTTTCATTGTAACGGGATAATAACCACTAAGCTTATTATGCGCTGGGTGCTGTACCCATGACATGTTTATTATTATCTCATTCCCCAACCACCATGAGATTGATGTTACTATTAGCCCCACTGAACAAAAGGAAAAAGAATCTTAGAAAACAAAGTGCTGTGCCCAAGGTCCTACAGCTAGTCTAATCTTTTTTTAAATTTTTTTTTTAAGACAGAGAGGAAGGGAGAGGGAGAGAGAGAAAAAAACATTGATCGGCTGCCTCCTGCACGCCCCCTACTAGGGACCGAGTCTGCAACCTGGGCATGTGCCCTGAGGGAATCGAACTGGCAACCTTCTGGTGCAGGGGAAGACGCCCAACCAACTAAGCCACAGCGGCCAGGGCACAGCTAGTCTAATCACGATCCCCAGTCTTTCTGAATCCAAAAGCTACTCTCTTAAGTTAAAGATTTCCACGCAACCTAACGCAGATCTTGCACAGAAAACTGTCATAATGGACTGGGAAAGGGGTCCGAGAATAACTTCCCTTCTCTCCTTCCACATCTTCCCTGTCGACCGTCCTGCGCCCCCCACCCTCACGCACATACCCTCCCCACTGGTCGTGCCTCAACCCTGTGGAGTTTCTGGATCTATTCTGCAAACAGGTCCTCCAAAAGGGAAAAAAAGGGAAAAGCAAAACTCCCCTGGCTATGTGAGTGTAACTGCAGAACAGCGTGTCTCTTTTGGCATTTTAATTATGGAAATAAGGGCAGCTGTGTTAAATTCCACATAGGCACTTACAGATGTGGACACATGTGCAGGTCAGCCCACTTTATTCAGCTTGGACGACCAGGCCACAGGCAGGCCTGGGACGCATTCCACATTCTCGGTTACACTCTGAGTTGTTTCTGTGATGTAAAAGCCCATCTCCAGCCTAACCACCTTTCTAGAGAAGGGGCAGGCGATGGGCCAGTAGAGAACATGGGTAACAGAAGCTCTGCTCTGGTTTTTAACAGCTGTGACTGGGTTCAATTCCCATATGAGCGATCCGTTTCAAAGCCCAACCATATGTATTTCTCATCAGCCTGAAAATCACTCAAAAAAAATAGAGAGGAATATCCAGCAGCCCCCAAAACCCAGCAGCGGAGGGTTGGGTGAGTGTCATGCTCCTCGAGGGTGTTGAGAATCACAGCACAAGGTGATCATGGGCTCAGAGGCTCATGAAAGGGATGAAGGCAGAAAGAAGTTCAAGACCATCACCTTAACCCTTCTTCCAACCTAAAACCTCTCTCTCTGACACTACAATATAGTGCGAAGAGCACAGGCATTGCTATGAACTGAATTGTGTCCCCCCGAAAATTCACATATTGAAGCCCTCCATCCACCCCCACCAACATGATGGTATTTGGAGGTAATTAGGTTTAATGAGGTCATGAGAATGGGGCCCCATGACGGAAATAGTGCCCTTACAAGAAGGGACACCAGAGAGCTTGCTCTCTCCCCTGGTGTCTGGACATAGAAAAGAAGCCATGTGGACATAGCAAGGTGTTGACCAGGAAGAGAGCTCTCACAGGGAACCAAATCTGCCAGCACCTTGATCTCACACTTCTGGCTTCCAGAACCTAAGAAATGTCTATTGTTTAAGCCACCTAGTCTATGGCATTTGTTACGGCAGCCTGAGCAGACTGATCCAGGTATCTAAGTCAGACAGGAGTTCAGATCCTGACTCCACTCTTTATGGCTGCAGGACCCTGGACAAGTTACTTCGTTTTTCTTATCCCACAATTTTGTAGGTAAACTACTGATGCCAATGGTTCCCTCACAGGGCTGTGAGGAAGGGTAAGTGTGTTGATGGATGTGAAAGGTGCCTAGAGCTTTTCCAGGCTCCCTTCTCCCCCTCCGGTGGCCTTAGTGCTAGATTCTGGGATGCTACGACTCCCAATGAGCGATGCCTCCCCCATGCAGGCCACAGCTGACCTTATAAACGGGCGGCCTGTTGGTCAAATTCAGCCCACAGATGTGTTTTGTTTGGGCTGTATTGATGTTTGAGGAAATGTGGGTTATTTATCAACATTTAAAAGCCAGGAAATTTCACATAAAAATCCTAATTTCCTGTTCTTCTTGAGAAATAAGATGATATGTCATGGGACCTGGTTCTGCCGGGGTAATCCCCTTTGGGCAGGGGGTGAGCTCTCACCTCCCTGCACCAGGCTGGCCTCACCCACATGGAAGACATGCTCTGCACTTGAGGCTTCTGAGTTAGCAGCCCTAAGCTCACAGGGCTGGTGAACTTTGGCGTGGCCTGTACTCTTCCTTGCTGCCCGTGAACAAAGATTTTAAATACAATTTCAGGATTGGTCTCCTGAAGTGAGGAACAATTAGCACATTCCTGAGTCCCCGATTTTATTTATGCTTCTATTGTGAGCTGAAGACCCCTCACGGAGAGGCCAGGGTCTGAGTTCTTGGAGTAAAATGGAGTTCTTGTAACTGGGGCTTGGCTGACCCAACTTTGCCTCGATCACTGAACATCTTGGGGCCTCAGTTTCCTCCTTTGTGAAAGGAGGGGCCTTGGGTTAGATGATATCTATTGACTCCATATTTGTGCAATAATTATGTGAAATTCAAGCACCTGGATAGAAATTTAACACAACTCTGTTTACTTCTGAGCTCTGAAGGTTTTAATGAAAGTAGAGCTCTTAAAACACCTCATTGACCCTTAACACAGGTCTTGACTAAATGTAAACAGGACCTGAATAATGGCCTTGTTTATTGTTCTGCCCATTCCAGGGTTGAGTCTTTTGCCTTGATGTTTTGTACTTAACACACCAGAGAGGAATGAACACCAGGGCATTAATAAGACTTGATATTTAACCTTCTGTCCCCAGGAGACCCTGGTGCTCAGAGCCCTGCCCACCTCTCTGCCCTCTCTTCACACCACCACCCAACCTCTGGCACTCCATGCACGTGGGTCCTCTTTTAGTTCCTTGCTCACTGCCACCACAGGACCTTTGCATCTGCAGTTTCCACTACGTGGGGCCCTCTTCACCTAGTTAATTCCCTCTGATGCCTCAGCTCACAGCACAAGCTTTGCATCACCATTCCTGGCCTCCTTGGCAGGATCAGGTCTTGCAGATATGCTTTCAACACTCAGCTGTGTGGCAGCAGCTGTTGCAGTTGCACTTCTGCATCTTACAAGTGTGACTGGTTGACTAATGATTATTTCCCTGGCTGAATATAAATTCCAGGAGAGCAAGGTCCATGTGTCTTTGCTTATTGTTATCTCTCCAGTCTCTGGCCAATAGGGAGGCACTCAAATATTTGATGAATGAATGAATGCTGACACTACTCTATTGGGAAGATTCTGGAAAACCATAAACTCCTCAAGGACCATGTCTTATTGAGGGTTATATTGCCAAAACCTAACAGGAATGACAGTAACTAATAATGATGTTAAGAGCTACAAGGCCCAAGTACTTAGCATGTTCCAACCCTGTTCTAATAGATTATGTGTGTAACAATCTAATCTACACAAGAATCCTATGGAAGTAGACACATTTTCTATCCCTGGTTCACATAAGAGGAAACTGAGGCACAAAATAGTTGGGAAGTCACTTAGTACAAAGAACAGCAATAAAATCCCAAGCAGTCTAGTTACAACCCCTAGGCGTCTTGCCTAACATGGTGCCTAATCGTTAAGCAGGGCAAAGTCAATGTTCNTTTTTAAATTTATTTTTTAAGTAAAAGGACCAAAGTTGGATCAATCTGGTTGCCTTGTTTTCAGTTACTCTTAGGATCTGACTGGCTTTTCTGACTTTGTCTTTTTCCTCCCATGGCCAGAGTGAGCAACCTGTAACTGTTGCCAGGTAAAGGATCATGTATTCCCTCCCTTACTCCTGTACTTCCCTTGCTTCTGCTGCTTGTGGAGAGAACAGAAGGCTGAGGGTCTGCTTGCTTTCCTGTGGCTCAGCTCAGAGCCATCCATCACACTGTTCCATGGGCAAGGGCACTGGCTCTCCCCTCAGAAAACCCTCCTTCTGGGCAGCTTCACTGAAGGGCTTCCTGTGTTCTTTCTCCTCTTGGAAAAATAAATATCCAAGAATCCTTACCAGTGTAGGTAATATCGGCGAAAACGGCTGCCCTTTCTTATTTCCACAATGCATTATGGAATCTGAATCTAGAATGTAATCCCCCCCACGCACACACACACACACAGCCATGAAGAAATGGATGAACCCCCTCTGGAGTAGAAGTCTAGACCAATGAGGGTCTTGGGACTTAACAGCCATAAGAGCCACATAAAAGCCGACAGAGGCAGCAAGAAGAGCCAAGCAGAAAACAAAACTCAAGATAAGGCCTCCTCTGCCCCAGCTCAGGCCGCGGGGAAACGGCCTCTGGCCCGACCCGCACGTACCTGATGTTTTCGTTCAGTGCATAGAGCTCATTGCTTTGCAAGCCTCCGCCTTTGAAGACGTTGATCACAGCAGTCTGCACACTGCGGGGAAACAGAAGCAAGTCCTGGTTAGGGGCTCTGCCTCCCCAGGGCCATCTCAACAAACAGCTCAGGGCTGCAGGTGGCTGAAAGGGCAAAAAACCTGTGGCATGAACACGGCCACGTTTTCCATTCCTGGAACCCATCATTTTCCATCCAGGGTCCTTGGAGAGGCAGGAAGACTGAAGTCAAGAGGACCCAAAAGCAGGTCCTCTCCCCACACCTACTCGCAGGCTGGCAGCCTCCCTTCCTCCCCTCACTGGCAGCCCTGCTGGGGAGTGACCGTAATAAAGAGCAGACAGTGGGATCTGCTCTCAGGAAACCATAGGAAAACATCCTCTTTTCATCAACTGCCCCTATAATCACGACCTTCTGAAGCAGAGATCTCGGAAGCAGAAGCTAAGCCAGTGCCCGGCCCTGCTCTGGCCCCTGGCAGCCCCCACTCCACACCCGGCGGCCTCCTTTACCTGTTCCAGGCTGAGTTGGAGCTCAGCTGCAGGGCCTGCCGGGTGGCCTGGAATCGGGGCAGGTCGCTGAGCACCGGGGAGCTCATGAAGCGTGGTCTGGGCCTGCGGAAGGAGCCCATCTTGTGGCACTCAATGGGCAGGCTGGGGGCAAAGCCACGGGTCATAAGTCCAGGTGAGGGGACGGCTTCTCCTCTGGACCAGAAGGTTCCGGCTGCCCACGGAAAGGGCTTCCCCCAGGGCTGCTGCCTTCAGTCTCTCAGGTTTTCTTAAAACCACAAATTTAGCCAACACCTGAAAAGAGAGGGCAGCTTTTATTGAAAACCCCTAGGCTGAGCAGACCAAGTCTTAGAGGAAGCTAGCTGGGACTTTCCAGCCAAATGATCCTAAAAACAACTCCAGGCCCCCCAGTAACATCTCTACCCTGCAGGATCCCATTCACAAGTTTGTATAGGTCTCTTTTGGTTTAAAACAATGTGGTCACCCCAAAGTAGGAAGGCAGTGTCAATGGGTCCAGGTTGAGGCCAGCCCAACAGAAAAGTGATTTCTAAGCTGTGCTCGACCTCGGTTCCTGTGCACACCATCAAAGTCTGGGCACTGGCTGGGTTTCTGCGGACCCCACAATGTTGTGCATTAAAAGAGAGCTTTTTAAAAAATGCCTCAAGGAGAACACAAGAGCTCCTTGTCCTGGCACTGAAGGCGGTCCACAGGATGTTCTCACCACGCCAGCCCATGTGCATTGCTAAGTATTCCCTAAAGTCGGTACCTCTTCACTCGGGCACATCTCCCACCACCCCTGACCTGCCATTCATTCACTCATGCCATCAGAACAGATTTACTGAGTGTTTACTACCACCGGGAGCTGTGGGGCATCCAAAGATTTCTAAGACCTAGTCCCTGCCCTAAAGAGGCTCATGGTCTACGGAGAAGACAACTGTGTATTCATCATGCAATAAATATTTACTGAGCACCTACTATGCAGCAGGCCCTCACTCAGGTACTGGGGATATAACCGTGGCCCTAGGGAGCATGGTCCCCGCCCTATGGAGCTTACAACCAGCAGGTGCTGTTCCATGTAGTCCTTCCTCCCTCTCCCAGGCTTTCTGATTGTATCTACTGCTCCTCTTGCCTAGAATTCCCTTCCTTTTCCTCTCTGCTTATCTCAATCTAACTTACCCTGCAGGACTGAGTTCAAGGATACTGTCCCCTGCCTGAGCAGTTCCTGGGAGACTTTATGGCTTCCTGGTTAATGGCAATGGCTTTGGGGTGAACCTTGATTCTAGTCTTCATGAGGCCACTCCCAAGTTGTGAGACTTTGGGCACTTTGTGCCTAAGAGTCCTCAGCTGTCAGCACTGTCAACGTCATAGGACTGATGAGACGTGAAATGAAGTCGTGTGACATACCCAGCAGAAGTCAGACTCAAGACCCTCAAGAACTGTCTATTTCCACTCAGATCCATTGCGTTTTTGTTTTGTTTTTTACTTTCAATTTTATTTTGTATTGGTTTCAGGTGTACAGCTTCATGGTTAGTCAATCATATACTTTACATAGCGTTCCCCTCGATATTTCCAGTACTCGACTGGCATATTATTACAATATTATTGACTATATTCCCTGGGCTGTACTTGAAAACCCCCGTGACTACTCTGTAACTACCAACTTGTCAGACCAATCGCTGAATTTCTCAGCACCTCTGGACCCGTCATTTCAGTCTCTTACTCCTTGGTGAACCTAACGTCTCAATCAATGACTTAGAGTGAGTTTTGCAGCTGATCAGAGTGAAGGACAAGAGGAAACCCCACCAAGGCTACAGTCACTTTTTTTCTCAAGGGCTTACAGGTTAGCCCAGGAGTGTTCTCACGGCCGCCCCACCCCTTTCATGAGCTAACTCTGCTATGTTCCAAAAACCAAAGCTGAAAGAAAGATATTCTGGCCTAAGTGTCAATCTGCAGGTTGACGGGGGGGGGG